TTTTCCCTCTCCTTCAAGGACATTATGCTAATGAAATAAGCCAGTTACAAAAGGGCTAATGCTGTATGTACTACATGATTCTCCTTATGTGAGGTACTTACAGATGTCAAATTCATAGACAGAAAGTAGAATGAAGGGAGCCTGGGACTGAGAGGAGACGGGGGATGGGTTAGTGTTTAATATGGGTGCAGAGTTTTAGTCTGGGATGATGAAAAAGTTACGCAGGGGGCTGGTGGTGATGTTTCCACAACACTGTGAATGTGCTTGATGCTGTCATACTGCTGAAAATGGTTAAGGTGGTAAACTTTGTGTAATGTGTCTTTTACCACAGTTTTAAAAAAAAGAATTGCTGTGGCTGGAGTGAACTGCTTGATGGGAAACTTGGAGTGGTGGCCCTGTGTCTGTCCTGGGTGCACGCTGGGAAGCCCTGGAGACGACTTCTCGCCTTCCTGTGTGAGCTCTCCTTGTCCCCAGGCCTGGGTGCGCCCTCCCGGAGAGCAGGAAGCGCCTCTTCTTTCTGGCTGACTCTCCACCCTCTCTGTCTCGTTCTCCTAGAGACTGTGCAGAACCACACACGTGGAATGAAGCAAGAAGAGTTGGCTCTGGGCTTTTTTGGGGCAAGCCAGTGACTGGGAGAGGAATTTACTAGAAAGTCTTTTTCTTGGGAGAAATCCCAGTCAAGCAAGTGTCCCCAGGAGGCCACTGAGCTTTCGATTTGTGTAGAGCGTTAAAACAGAGGTAAATCTTAAACGCGGGGAAAAGATCCTCACCTAGTGGGACCGCTGTCGAGGCGGTGCTCTGCCAGGGACCTGTGGTTATCTTTCAGGGAGATGTTCTACTTGCAGTTTGAGGGACGTGGGAGGGGAAATCAGAGATGAACGCATAGACGTGAGCCTGTGCTGTTCCTCTGACAACCTCATGAATCCCAGCTGGCCCGGTCCAACAGAACTTTCTGTGATGATGGGGATGTTCATGTTGTTTATTTAATACTGTAGCCACCGTGGCTTTAAAGCACGTGAAATGTGGGTAGTGTGACAGGAACTAGACGTTCAGTTGTTTTCCCTTTTCTTTTTAATTGAAGTATAGTCGATTTGCAATGTTGTGTTAATTTCTGGTGTACGGCATAGTGATTCATATATATAATTCCTTTTCATATTCTTTTTCATTACAGGCCATAATCAGGCATTGACTATAGTAGGACCTTGTTATTTATCTATTTTATATATAGTAGTTTGTATCTGCTAATATCAAACTCCTGATTTATCCCTCGCCACCTTCTGTCCCCCTAAGATGTTCAATTTTATTTAATTTTAATGATTTTACTTTTAAACAGCTGCCCTTGGTTGTTGGCTGTCTTAGTGGAAAGCACAG